CGCCCGCTGCGGGCGCCGTCCATTGCAGCACCGTGGAACCAGGGCGGTCGACGAGTCACTGGCACGAATATCCACAGCGTTGGTCGTGAGACGGGCCGATCCGTGCCGTCGCCGCTCTCTTGGTGTTCCAAAAACTGACCGACGGGATGGCGACGAATGTCGCCCTCTGGCGCGAGGTCGAAGCCGGAACGCGGCATACCGTGACGACGGCGAAGGAGCGGTACCCACAGGCTCAGCTGCACTCTCGCTCGTTCAAGGGCCTGCCGAGCGAGATCGCGCGGAAGCCGAAGATCGGCAATTCCAAGCCGTGCGACGTCAAGACAAACCTCGCGGCCGATGTCGAAGCGCTCGTCGCCCGCCTCGCCGCGCCGGCGGAGCCCGAAGCGGTCGACCCGTGTTGGCGCGAGGTCGAGACGGGAACGCGGTACACGCAGACGACGGCGATGGAGCGGTACCCGCAGCTGTACACGACGTCGTTCAAGGACCTCCCCTTCGAGATCGCGCGGCGGCCGAAGCCCTGCAAGGGCCCCCGCGACGTCAAGACCTACCTCGCCGCCGACGTCGACGCGCTCGTCGCTCGGCTCGCCGCGCCGGAGGCCGAACCGGTCGACCCGCGCTGGTGCGAGGTCGAAGCGGGGACGCGGTACACGCAGACGACGGTGATGGAGCGCTATCCGCAGCTGACCAAGCATTCTTGCAATGACCTGCCGAGCGAGTTCGCCAGGAAGCCGAAGAGCAACACCCAACGCGCCCTCGATGTCAGGACCTACCTCGCCTCAGACGTCGACGCGCTCGCCGCGCGCCTCGCCGCGCCAGACCCGGAACCGGTCGACCCGGGCTGGCGCAAGGTCGAATCGGGCGCGCGGTACGATGTGAGGACGGCCAAGAAGCGCTACCCGCAGCTCTACTGGCAACTCTTCGTGGACCTCCCCTTCGAGATCGCGCGGCGGCCGAGGATCGGCAAAGCTCGATACGCCATCGACGTCAAGACCTACGCCGCCGCCGACATCGAGGCGCTCGCGGCGGCGCGAGCCACGAAGCGCGCGCGCATCCAGGAGCCCGAGCCGCCCCAGGAGCCCGAGGAGGAGCCCGAGGAGTGCCCCGTCTGCTTCGACCCGATGACGGGCGCCACCGCGACGCTCGTCTGCGGCCACCTCTTCTGCACGGCTTGCATCACGGAATTTGGCGAGCAGCCAGACGACGTGCCCGACGTGCCGCGAGACGCTCGAGGTCGCCCCGTAAGCGAGGACTGTAGCGGGTCGGAGTCCGCGCATGTGACTCACTGGAACATTTCACCAACTCTTGGCGATCTCAGGCGAAAACGTCTCCTCGGGTATCGATGCGACGCCTCCTCGTCCTGTGCCTCGTCGGGGCCGTTTCCGCGCGCGGTCGCCCGTCGCTCGCCGGCTACCTCGACGCCTGCGAGGGCCCCGGCGACGCCGTCCACCTGCGCCGGTGGTACGGGCGGACGGGCAACAATTTGAACCAGCTGGCCAACGCCTTCGGCGTCGCCCTCGCGTCGGGCCGGCCCTACGTGTCGCTGCCGGCGGCGCCCCCCAAGGGCCTGGACCCGGCCGTCTGGCGCGCGCCGCCGCCGTCGCTCCCCGCCGGGCGCCGCGACGGCGCGTTCCGGTGCGAGGTCTTCGAGAGCGAGCCGACCTACGACTGCGCGCGGCTCTTCCGGAGCCGCTGCCGCCTCAGCGTCGCCGAGAAGCGCGTCGCGCTCCGGCGCGCCGTGGACGCGCTCCTGCGGCCCGAGGCGC